GTCTTTGACTATTTTATTACTATGTTTTAAGTCTATAATGATAATGAAAGTCAACATGATGAAAAATGCAATGCTGTCCAACCAAGATCATGAAGAAAGGGAAGGGAAGGAAATAATTGTGAGACCAAAGTATTCAAAGTCCCGTGAATGTCTTGTTTTAGTGAGTTTGGGGCCCTCCATTCCCTGCTGTAAAAGGTTAGGGAGAGTTAATACATGGATAAGGCTGTTGAGATCATCTGTGGACACAAACACTTTCTTGTACTTTTAGACCCAGCCAGCAGAGAGAAAGTTTGCTGGTGATGGGAGTTCCACAACTCAATAAGACAAGAAAATGGATAGCAATCCCAGAATACAGAGGAAAAGTTGTGTAGACCCCAAGAGGAAAATGGAGTCATGAGCCCAATAGAAAAACCTCACTATACCAGACTGACTCAAATGAAACCAATTCAGTAGTCTGGAGCCATCATCCAATGAAGGCAAAGCTAGCTGCACATGTGTGGTAATGAGCAATGTATTTTCCACAAAGCTTGTATTTTGCTATTTTGTTTGGCATCAAAGTTAATTGGGATAAAGAATAATGTGATTTGGAAATAGGCTAAAATTAATAAATGAAATGTGCCCATGGGGAAATGCCAGTGTTTCCACACACAGAGCCCAATCTCAGATGAAAAAAAAATAAATGGAATGTATAGTATTTTTCTTAAACTAAATTTAAACTCCAAATAACTGAAAACTTTAGATTTAAATATTTTGGGGCTGGAGAAATGGCTCAGTCGTTAAAAGCTAGGCTCACAACCAAAAATAGCTTTAGCATATTTTCTCATAAAATTGTGCATATAAACAATTTTGAGATTTTAATTAAAAATATCACTGAATATACTTCCGATATCTTTTAAATAATATATCAAATTTTAAACTTCTGTATCCTATCCAATAAAGAAATAAGTTTAAATGATTTTAGGAAAATTGCTTAATCAAAAAAAATCTCTAATAATTTTATTTTAATGACCTACTTTCTTGATTGTCAACAAGTATATTTTATCTGTTTTTCAGTTATTTTATACTTCATTGGGTTCTGCACATAGTGTTTAAGAACATTTTTTTCCTCAAAAAAAAAATGCAGTTATGAGAGGATTTCTTCAAGGTTTTATATTTAAAAATAACACGTACTCAATCTGACTTGTCATCATAGAGCCTGTATCCAGAAACCGATGGAAGCAGATGCCGAGATCCACAGCTAAGAACTGGGCCAAACTCCTGAAGTCAGTTGTAGAGGAGGAGAAGCCATAATACTAACAAAAGGGATCAAGACCATGTTGAGGAAACCTGACCCACAGAAACAGCTAATAGAAATTCCATACTGATATCTGAGAAACCTCTATAAGAGTGAACTAGGCAAACAAAATGTGGGTGACAGTTGGAAGTCTTGGACAGTCTATGGGGCCACTGGCAGTGAAACCAGTATTTATCCCTAGTGCATGAACTGGCATTTTGGAGACCATTCCCTATGGAGGGTTACTCAGTTCCAAATAATAGGACAGACTTTGATTACTCCCTATGGGTGGCCACACCCTCTCTGAGGAGGAGTGGATGAGAAGAGGGTTGGGGAGATGGTGGGGGGAACAGTAGTAGAGAAGATGCAACTGTGATTGGTATGTAAAATAAGATTGTTTTATTAAAATTACTATGTGCTTATAGTGTGTACTGAAAGTCTTGATTTTAGATTTTATTAAGCAGGTTTTTACAAAAGTGATTCAGTCTCTTCACACTATTCTGCTCCTATATCTGTTTATATTATATTAAGGCTTTCTTAGAGTCAGGTGTCTTTGTAGTGACATTTTATGGCAGGCCTGCAGAAAAATATGGAACCATGAGAACAAAAATATTAACAAAATACGTGTCAAGACTAGGACTTTGCTAATGTTTTTAGGTCCAGCCCAAGACTGACACTTAAAATCAGGAGGCTATAAATAATAATATTAGAATTCCTTAAATACTTGTTATTGAATCTGCACAAAATTTATATACATATCTAATTTATATGTATGGATTTAATTATTGAAGATGTTGTTTGCTTATCATGAGTGGAGCAAGATCATAAAACAAAATGAGGCTGGGAGTTAACTGGAAAGTAAAAGGACAATACAATATATGGACAGTTTTGTGGAACTATATGTTACAAGTTAATGATAATAAATATAGAAAGCAAAGGTAAAAATAACAATTGAATTTATTATACACATCCACATCCACCTGCACCAGATACAGACATCCTAGTCCCAACAGACAGCCAAATCCTAACTTTGTTTCATGGTCAGGAAAAATAGTTGACATCATTATGGTATACTAAGAAATTCATAAGGATAAAAGAAAAAAATAAAGGTGTGTGATGTTTTGTCTGAGAACTATCCATTCAAAGTACAGTTAGCCTTACACAGAGCCAATAAGGAAGACCCCTTCTGCCTATTTTCTCATGGTACAGCCTACATTAGCCAGTCATGTGATCACTTCTAAAGAAATTCACATATTTGTAAGGTAGTATTATTTTTGGTTTTCAAGTATTTCTCTTTTATTTTATTGCCTGTGTACACCAGGAATATAAGTTTTAAAACTGAATCATTGCTTCTGTTACTCCCTGTATAATTCTGCATTGAGAGTAATGGGAGATGTACCTGGAAATACTAAGACATCATTCTTCAAGTCAGTCTACATTTCCTCATTTTCTTAATATAGTTAAATTTCAGTTTTCCTGGGTTAGGGTTATGTTTCTGATAATTTTTATGCAATTTTAATTATTATCAGTGGGGCAAACATTCTTTTATAAATTATACCATGTAGGATAGCACTGAATTATGTTTAATTTACCTGTACTTTGTTTGCCAAAACAGAACATTTTGTTTTCTTGACATTTTCAAATTGCAGACTACACTGTAGTGTATCAGACAGTTTAACAACCAGGCCTTCAACTTCTCAAAATACTGAGATCGTCTTTGTGGTTTATTATAATTGCATATATGATATTAAAATGAAATTTTGTGTATATCCTTCTTAAAAAGAATAACAATATTTTGCTATATTTTATTATTGTGTTTTGGTTTGTCCTTGCTTTCAAACTGGATTTTAGACTCATGAGGTCTACAGATCATCATGCATGTTCCTCATCAGTGTTGGGATTGTTTTTGTGGACCCATGATAGGTCACTCAATGAAGGCATGTCACAATATCATCACACTGAAACTCCTGTGCCTCTTATATGCATATCTCACCTATGGTGCACCCACCTGAAGTCCTCAGGATACTTAAAGAAACTGCCTGCCTCGATCTTAGGTTAAAAACCATGCTATAGTAAAGACAAACTAGGTTCATTCCTCTTATGATTAAACCTTCATTTCTTAAGGATTGGCCTATACATTGACTACAAATGGATTTGGACTGCCTGTTCCAGCATTGGCAAATGTTGTTGTTTCAAAAAGTTATTTATAACCATCTTGAAATCTCAACTTTGTTTAAAAAAGTTAAATAATCACCTAGGTCTGCCTTACAAGTACCTGTTGCTGTGAGTACCTTGTTATGCCCACCTTGCAACCATGTCTTTGTTTCAGGAGAGACTAACTTGTAAATTTTTTTTGTCCTCCTGTGATCTTACTTATTTAACTTGCCTACCCCACTGTTTGGAAACCTCCTCGCCCTGAGCTATAAAAATCTTGTTTTCCTCACATTTAAGTGTGACCTCTTGAACCTCACCTTAGGAGAAGGCACCCTATACACATTAATAAAATATTTTGTTAATTGCTTGTTAAATTAACTTGCTTGTTAATTGCATGGCCAAATTATTTGGCCATGATGATTTAAGTCAGTGGTCTTTCTCCTCCTATTTTTTGAATTATGATATACTCCACGTTTAACCACCCCTTTATCCCTTCCACATACAATCCATCTGAGGGGCACCCAACTTCAGTCCTCAGCTTCCTTACTCTCCATCTTCCTACTCTTCTACACCTAAGGACTGTAGTACACCAACAGAGAGATTTCAGGTTCCTTCCCAGCAGTGTGGACATCTTATTAGAAATGTCTATTCTCTCCTACACTTTATTCTCTTTTTACCATGCATTTTCTAGATTTTGGAGCTCCATATCAGGAAGACATTAATTTTCTTACCACAATTGTAAGTCTTTTGTGTCCGTCATGCCTGTATATTTTTGTACTCACAGATAGGCACATTTTATGGCAGAATGGTTCTTCCTGCCTAGATCATTTTCTCAAACTACAAAACAAGTAGATGCTAAGCACTTCCCCCACTCTATCCCACTATTTTCTAGGTCTTAACTCTCTTTTTTATTCACTGCACTCCCTGTTTTTTCTGAACTATTTCTTCAAAACTTACAACTTGTAGCTTTTCAAAGTTATTTGCAATCTAACTTTTCTCTCTGGCACTTCTCAATACAGTTGTCGTAATTTTGTCAAGAGCATTTTTAACCGGTGATTTTCTCAGACAGGTGTGTTAATTGTATTCTGGGGTGTGTCCAGAATATTCTTAATCAAACTGATTTCTCATTGCCCTCTGTCAAAACATTCAAGTATAGTTGACATAGCACCTGTACCTTTTGACTTGTTTGCTTAATTATATCTTTCAATGTATTTCCTAATCTCTTTATAGATATCAATCTGGGAAAATTTCTTTTGTTTTCATCTGCTCTTTAATGTTTTAATTGAATGTATATTTCAAGAATTTGTTTTTATTTTTAATCATGTAAATGACTGCGTTTGTGCATTGGAATTCACAGGTGAGTACAAGTATCTGCAGAGGAAAGGAGAGAGTTAATCAGATACCCATGGAGCTTTAGTTATAAGTGAGCCATCAGTAAGCTGCTAGCTACATTAGTATTTTAGCTTTGAATATTCTGTCCTATTGTTTTATTTCTCTTTATCATACATAATATATTTTGTTGTTTTATTTTTTATTTATTTATTTGTTTTGGCCTAATGCAGCTACCCAAGAAGCCAGACAGCACATTTTTCTTTATTAAATATTAAAGCACAAATGGATGTTCCTCGTAAAAGAGGGCTGAAGGACACCACAGGAGGGAAAGGGACATTGAGGGACAGAACCACACAGAAGAGACCAACTTCATAAAAAGGGCTCAATATTGATTTCTAGAGAGGAACAGGGCATGGTCAGCTCAAATTTGGTGATAACATCAGGATGAAGGACGCCTAGCTTCCTGATGCTTTGACCCCAGGCAAAGAATTCAGCACACCACCCAGGGAAGAATGCTGAACCTATTGATGCTTTGATCACGTAGCCCCCTTTCTCCTCACTAGGAGGCACAATCAAGCAGCTGCATAATTCTGTCCAGCAGCCCATGGATGATCTCAAACCCAGGATTCTTATTGTAATAAACAGCACAGAGATGCCTGTAGTTTTTTGCACCTACATCTTTGCTAGAATTTTTTACTACAATGTCAGAGATTTCAAGCAGTTTGAGAGGAAGTGGCATCTTCCGGTTTGCTGCAATGGTCTTTAGAAGGCCAGGAAGAAGGGTAGTGCATGCCACCTGGAACTCAGCAGTTTTGGGATTACTTATGTGAACTGCCTTTGTTTCAGAGATATCCAAGACAAGTTTATCAGCAATATCTTCTTGGGAGCACAGGGCAAAAGTAAGAGCTTCAGTGAAGCCTGCAACAGCCATGTCAAGTCCGAGGAGCTCCGTAAGCTTGTTGAGAGGAAACTGAGGGAAAACCAACATGCCATGACATCTCAAACCTGCTCTGTTGTTTTAGACATATTCATGCAGAGCATATCATTAAAGGAAACAAACTCCTGCCCTCAGCAGCATACTGCCAATATCCCCACCACAGCCATCCAGCAGCCTCCGACTCCATCTCTCCCACACAGAGTCCGTCTTCAGGCCCTTATTTTGTTATTTTAAATAGAATAGCTGTTTAAAGAATTGATTGAGATATTTGAACTAGTGTATATATACCTTACTTGTTTTGAGTTTTGTTTTTGTTTTGTTTTTGTTTTTGTTTTTTTACAGTTCATGAACATTTTAAACATTTTAAAGTCTGTTCTCAGTTAAAGAGTTTCCAGAATGAGATAGATCTGTATCTCAGTCTGTGTGGGTGCAATTTTATTTAAAACCTGTAAAAACATGCTTGTTTTTATAACTTGAGGGAAAGTTGTTTTTCTATTTTCTCATTTCACTAGAAGTTTACCTTCCATAAACCCTGGTGTTTGTTTTAGCATCTCAATTCCAAACACCAACTCTTTGGGGATCATGAAAACATTAAAACCAAAGGTAAATGTTCCTTGTGATTTCCAGATGAGTGAAAGTAGATCATCTGTCTAGTGCCTTCTTGTCTTTTGGGGCTATGTTGAAAATATGAAGTCATGAATGAGACATAGCCTTATTAAATCCCATGCACAGAATACTTCTAGAAGTTTGTAAATGGGACTGCACACAAGTACGGCATGTCCATAGAATCATCGTCAGTGAGTTTTCTTCAATGTTTCAGGAAGCATCTGGGCACACTTGAGTGATGTTGAATAATGTTTCTTTCAATAGTAAAATATATTTTTACAAGATGGCAGAAAACGATAAGATAGTGATCAATCACTTCCTGAAAATTTTGGTACAAAATATTCATGATTTACCATTTGTTTGGATTATACTCCAACAGAGAAAAATAAGTAAGGCATAGAATTCTTAGTGGAATATTTGTGCTTTTGCATCTGTATAATTTTCTTTGCATTGTGATTTTTGGTTTTGTATGGCTATAGGTAGAACACACTTAAAATTAAATAAATGCAATAGACACACAAGTTCTTTAATAAGTATTGTTTGATCAAGGGACATGAGATGAGTGCTTGAGGAAAGAGAAAATAAAAAGAAAGAATAGTAAAAGTTTGATTTAGAAACAGATAAAGAAATAAAAACACAATGATTTTCCAAAATATTTTAAGGAGTTTCTTCAAAAAGAGACCAAAATGAGCATATCAAATGTCTGTCTGCATTACTTTTGGTATTCTGCCACTGAACAAGTGATTGCAAACTATAAAGTTATGTATCCACATACCTAGCTATGCACAGATATATGTATATATGAAAGCTCAAAGAGGAGTAATAGCAAACAAAATTAACCTGAAGACAATAGATCATAACTAGGGAGACATTTCCGAATTTGCATGTTATTTGTTTAGTTCATAAATATTTAGAAATTCATAATGTTTGCAATGAGATGGCTTTTCTCATAATTCTGCATAATAGAGAAGCCATTAAGACCTACAGAGCAGAAGGTACTTTCTTAGAACTTGGTTCTTAAGGGCTTCAAGATCTTGCTATTATCTCATACAATATTGTAACTCATCAAAATAGTATCAAATGTACTGATTGACTTGATCCTCATCTATTTCTCCAGTCCTATCTCTAACCAGTTCTCACTATACTGCAGGTCTGCTACATTTATTCTGTGAAGCTTTCTACTTGACAAGCATTCCTACTGAACTGTGCATGCCATCTCCTCCTGTGTGCTTATTACTTTTTCCCTCACCAAATCCTGCTCATCTATCTCTCATCTTCACAGAGACTTGCCTTAGAAACTGTTCACAGATTCCCTGAGAGTATATTATACTGTCTTTCAGTGTAACAACCTGCTTTTATTTTGAGAAAGAGCTAACCTGTATTGAGCTCTTGCCATGCTCCAGACACTGTAATAACTACATGGTATTCAATATTTTTAATGCACAAAATATTAGAAAATAAGAAACTCCATGATTTTATCAAGAAGTAACACCAAATATAATTGGAAGTCATCACTGATTGTTCATCACATTTCATTTAAAATACCTGAAATTTGTGTGGGTGGATTTAGAAAGAGTGGAGTATGCTATTTAATTACATTTTTTCACTGTGACAATTGAAAATGTATGCAAATATACTATTCTTTTTTCCATTTTCTTATTTTTTTTATTTCATTTTACATTCCAACAACATATCTCCCTCCCACCGCTTTGCCTCCTCCTAGCGTCCCTCTTACCTCTTCCCTAGCCCATGCCAAATCTACTTCTCCTCACCGGTAAGAGTTCCCATGAAAAGTCAACATAGTCTGGCACAATAGGTTTGGAAAGGGCCAGGCCCCTCTCCCACACATTAAGTCTAAGCATGGAATCCCACCTCTGGGAATGGGCTCCAACATGCTAGTTTATATACCTGGATGATGTCTTGGTCCTACTGCCGCTGAATATGGCAACCCAGCCTAAGAAATTGGCTCCAACAAGCTACCTCATGACCAGGCTTGTATTGTGGTCCTACTGACAGGGACACCTAAGCTTCGTAACTATCTCCCACATATAGAGGGCTAGGTTGACTCTCCTGAACTCTCCACATGAGTTTCAACAAGCTTGGTTCAGCTCTCTGTATATTTTTCCATCAAGATCTTGACTTTCCTTGCTCATATATCCCCTCTTCCCTCTCTTGGACTGTATTCCCAGAGCTCAGCCTGGTTCTTGGTTGTGGTCTCTGCTTCTGGTTCCAGTAATAACTGGATGAGGGCTCTATATTGATAGTTGGGGTATTCGTGAATCTGATTACAGGGGCAAGCAAGTTCCGGCATCCTCTCTACTACTGTTAGGAGTCTTACCTGGAGGCCTCCTTGTGGATTCTTGGGAGTTGTCCCTAAGTCCATAGTGGCTCTCTCTTTCATAAGATAGCTCTTTCATTGTTCTTCCATTGCATGCCTCCTTGCCTTGGCCATCTTTTTCCCTTCTGTTCTCAATCCCCTCTCCTCTCCCTTAATATCCCCCTGTCCTAAGTTTGCTGTGTATCTTATCTAATTTCACTTCCCAGGTCAATCCATGTGTCCCTCTTATGGTCCTCCTTGTTACATATCATCTCTGGAGCTGTGGAATTTAGTTAGCCTTTGCTTTACATCTAATATTCACTTATGAGGAAATGCATGCTTTGTTTGTCTTTCTGAGTCTGGGTTACCTCAATCAAGATAGTTTATATTTTCTAGTTCTTTCCATTCTTTGCCTGAGGGGTTTCTAGGTCATTTACAGGTTCTGACTATCATGAATAATACTGCAATGAACATTGTTGAGCAAATGTCCTTGTGGTATGATTGAGCATCCTTTGGGTAATGCCTAAGGGAAGTATCTCTGGGTCTTGAGGTAGATTGATTCACAGTTTTCTTACAAAATACAATACTCATTTCCAAAACGGCTATGTAAATTTTCACTCCCACTGTCAGTGGAGGAGTGTCCACCTGACCCCACATCCTCTCCAAAATAAGCTATCCTCAGTATTTTTGATCTTAGCCATTCTGAAAGATGTAAGGTGGTATCACAGAGTTGTTTTGATTTTCATTTCTCTGATGATTAAGGATGCTAAGCACTTCCTTAAATGTCTTTTGACCATTTAACATTCTTCTGGTGAGAATTCTCTATTTACCTCTGTACTCAGTTTTTAAATTGGGTCATTTTTATTTTGTTGTCTATTTTCTTTAGATTTTTTTTATAAATTTTTGAGATCAGCCTTCTGTCAGATATGGGGTTGGTGAAGATCTTTTCCCATTCTGTATTATGTCTTTTAGATGGTGTCCTTTGCCTTACAGAAGCTTCTCAGTTTCAGAAGGCCTCATTTATGGATTTTCAATCTCAGTGTATGTGCTACTGGTATTATGTTTAAAACCACTCTCCTCTATCAATCCATCAAAGGTACCTTCCACTTTCTCTTTTAAGGGGTTCATTGTGGCTGGATTTATGTTGAGACCCTTGATCCACTTGCATATGAGTTTTGTGCATGATGATAGATATGGAAGTATCTGTAATCTTCTACATATCAGCGGCAGTTGTTAAACATATTTTACTTTTTCCATTGTACTATTTTGGCTTCTTTACCAAAAAATCTGGTGTTCATAGGTATATGCATTGATATCAGGGTCTTCAATTAGATCCCATTGATCCACCTGTCAGTTTTTTATTGCAGTACCAAGATGTTTTGATTACTATAGCTCTACAATGGAATTTGAAGACAAGGATTATGATGTCTCTGGAAGTTACTTTATTGTAGAGTTATTAGCTGTTTTGGGACTTTGTTAGCTGTTTTGGGACTTTGTTTTTTCTATATGAACTTAAGTATTGTTCTTTCAAGATCTATGAGGAATTGTGCTGGGATTTTAATGTGGATTGCAATGAATCTCCAGATTGCTTTTTGTAGGATTGCCATTATTATTACTATGATGAACCTACGTATCCAAGAACCTGGGATATTTTTCTATTTTTGATAACATCTTTAACTACATTCTTTAAAGACTTAAACTTTTTTTCATATAGGTCTTTCATTTGTTTGGTTAGAGTTACCCCAATATATTTTTTATTTGTAGCTATTATAAAGGGTGATACTTTTCTGATTCCTTTCCCAGCCCTTTAATCATCTGTATATAGGAGGGCTATTGATTTTTTTTATTTAATCATGTATCCTGCCACATTACTGAAGGTGTTTATCAGCTGTTAGAGTTTCCAGGTAGAGATTTTGGAGTCGCTTATGTACACTGTTATATTATCTGTGAATAGCGATAGTTTAACTTCCAATTTGCATTCCATTGATCTTTTTTGTTGTCTTATTGCTCTAACTAGAACATCAAGTACTATATTGAATAGATAAAAAGAGAGTGGACAGCCTTGTCTTGTTCCTGATTTTAGAGGAATCACTTTGAGTTTCTCTCCA